AGAAAGATGTTCCCTTTCCTAGAAAAATGTATATGAATTTCTGATCAACTCTGCATAGCTAACAGAATTTATGGTGTTCTAGATTGTTCTGTACTTTTTCTTTCACCACCCTTTGGGTTTTAAACAGAGCTGTTGTCAGGTTTAAGTTGGTTATTTGGGTGCACTGGCAACCGTTTTGAATTCTTAAACTTGTTGTTCCATTGCAGTGGGTGATTTAATTAATCGTTAGCTTAAAATTATTCAAATAGATGAATTAAATATAAGAGCAGTTTACAATTTGGGGCTATAAGGTAGATTAATGTACAACCCAGATTTCAAAATAATTGGATAATATTTTGCTTCAGTTAATGTCCTAGCACTCTATTATGCTATATTAACATTTTTGCTATGTATAAATTTGATATTTTTTCTGAGCAGAAATAAAATAATCTATAGTTGCTTGCTGGTCAAGTCGGGATCCTGTTACCTATTCTTACTGCCCTTGATCCCATAAGGCTGGCTGTCATTGTTCTCTTCTTAACCCTTGTTGCTCTCCAGTATCTCTGCCTTCCTTCATCAGTCTGTTGATGTGTTCTTGAAACTCTCTTGGTGTCCCTCCATGCAAAGAGGATGGATTTCATATTTGTTTCATGGATTCAGATGGTATTTCAAGCTGGATAAGATGAAAAATATCTGTATTTCCACCCTCTCTGTTTAGTGTTTCACTTACAGCAACCTTACCTATATGCCATCTCTGGTTTAAGGTCGAAGAAATAAAACAGCATTCATCTTTTTCATCACTGAGTCATCTCTTCTCTCCATGGAAGACTCATCTTACTTGCAATGCTCCATTCTCTTGTAATATTTGAGTTGTCCTCCTATAAAAATGTATGTACTTTCTGAAATATGGTTGTGGTGTTTTGTGGGGGTTTTTTTTGTTTGTTTGGTTTGGGTTTTTTTGTTGTTGTTTGTTTTTTCCCCCATGATCCACAGCTAAAGGTCTTGTCTGTACTCTGGGTAGTCTTTTCAACTTCATCTTGTTTTTCCTCAGGTTTCTCAATAGGCTTCCAAATACAGGTCCCCAACCTGTTGGGTTTTGTGGTGTATTGTTTCCCTTCTCTGACTCACATTAACATTGGAGTGTTGCCTTACTCATTCGTCAGTTTTCACAGATCTCTGCCTGTATCTTAATTTTTCTCTCCAACTTCTACTTAGACTTCTTGTTCCACTTGGAATGTCAATTGCATCGTGTGTCTAAGAGTAGGTTGTTTGCAGCAGTCTGCTGTTCTTGCATTAGACCATCAAGTTGCATATCATTTTATCAGTGCAGTTTTATTTAATTGTAGCTGCAGCATGGGGTATTTGTTACCGATGTTCACTTGAACAAGAGAAATAAAGCAATCCTGTATATTTAAGAGGCTCTGAAGTTGTTCCATTGACTTGGAAGTGGGAGCATACAGTGAAAGGTTTAAAAATAAAAATAAAAAAGGCTTGAGTTAAGTTACAGCTTGCATATTAAATTCACAAGTGAATATGCAAATTTTTTCAGCAATGTTGAGCTTTCTTTACTATTTCATCTCAATATGTAGATAATTCGGGACATAAGCCAAGTGTGTATTTTGTGTATTTAACAACCTCGCTTTCCATACGCTTTTCAAGTATCTTTTGTGTGTGTGTGTGTAGGAAATCCTTTTAGAGACTGCCTCACCTTCATAAATTGCCGTGTGACACCAAAGGGCTGAACACTGTATTCCTGCCTCATTTATTCTGAAAACTTTGCTACTGAAACCAAACTTAATCAATGAGCTCTGTATTGTCTCCGATAAGTTATGTACTGGCTTTATTGATTGGGAAGGATTTTAGAAAACCCATGTGGGGTTTATAATGTCAGCAGTGTTTTGATTATGAAAAGAGGTGGAACCTTGGGACAAGGAACCAGGTGGTGTATGTCCTAAAGCCACTGGTGACACGGCTGGGCTGAATCCCTCAAGGGACACAGTTCATGCCCTGCACTTTAACTGTGGTGACTGGCTGCTATAGATGCACTTTTTGCTCATTAAAATGTTAAAAATCAAACTGCATGTAAGAAGATTTGTGAAAATATAAACTTGGGGATTGATCCAGAAAACTGGCATGTGATACCCTAGAGACACTGGTTTCAGCTACTGGGTAATTTACGCTTATCAGCTGTGTGTCCTGGATTGTTTTGGGTTTACGGGGTTTTTTTTTCTTTTCTTCTTTTTAGGGTGTTTTTCTTTAGAGGCATTTATGTAGGTTTTTCTTTAAGAAAATAGGCATAGGGGAATAAAATAAGAAAACAGGCTATTATTGATACTACCTCTGTTTCATGTCAGGTAAAAACATAAAAAGGATTATAAGATGCTGACATGGAGCGATTCTAGGTTTGGTTTTGCTATGGTTTTGGTTTGAAATTGTAAAGAAATGTTGATTTTTCTAGGCCATGAGTAACCACCCACCTAAAGAGGTCTTGTAGGAAGTTGTGTATTACGTAGGCATTGCTAATCTTTCAAACTGAGCAGTATTTAAAGGAGACCAAAAAAAAGGAAAAAAAAGCATTACATTTATAGTAACGAGCTTGCAACTTGAGCAAAAATTGAATAGTTCTCCACTAATTGTATTTCTTACATGCAAAAGATCAGCTTTTTTGCTAATCAAAAGCTAATTCTGTATGTGATTTTTTTTTTTTTAATAGTTAAAATTTAAAAATACGTCTGTGGTTAACCTGTATTAGTCTCAGGTTTTTTTAGTTGTAAATCAAGGCAGATAAGTATTGATGTATAATGACTGGCAAATTATGTCCAATAACATTATAAAAGCCACATAATAATATCACTGTAAAATCTTTCTTTAAAAGACAAGGCAATGTATAGTGGTACAGATTCAATATATTGCCTCTTTAAGTGAAAATTCCATTTTCTGTGTTTAGGAAGCTATAAATATCAAGGAACAAGTGCAAAGTAAGTTCTGAGTAATACACTATTCTCCTACAATGACACAATGCTGATGAGGTGCTGAAGTGTTTTATTATGTGAATGTTTTTACTTGCAGTTACAGTAATTATTTAAATCATCAAAATAATGGAGATAATATATTCTGCCATTTTGAGGTGACTGATGATTTGTTATCTTTTAACACTTTTATTTCAGAATTCTGTCTATTAGCTACATGGCTTTGTTTCTAAAACATAGATGTGCAGTCATTATTTTGAGGACAATTTGTATTGATAAGGCCAATAAAAATATAGGCACTTTCCTGTGATGATAATTTTGATTCTTTTAAAATTCTATTGTGGGTTTGGTTTTTTTAACATTTTATGCACTGAGATTTCAGTTGTGGGTAAAGGACAACTGTGTGATAGTTAAAATTTGTCAAGATGCAGTTTTGTGTGCAAGCAATGAGCGTTGTTCAGCAGACGGGTCAATCCTTGTGAAAGTCAGTGAGATTCTGCACAAGGGTGAACCCAATCACATTAATGAGGCATCATTTTGTATCAAATACATATTTCTGCAGAGTTTACTCTGAAACCTATATATCTCCTTTCCAATT